AAGCGATTTGAGAGCTCTAGGTATTTTATTCTCAAGGGACCCGGGTTGACCAAAACTTCTTATTATACGATTTCCATATATGAGAAACTTCTTGTCATACAATTTCATACAATTCCATACGTACAGAAAATTGTATGAAAACTCTATGACAAGCATTTTTCCATCTATGAAAATTGTATGATAGGTGTTTTCCCATAAACCAAAAGTTTTGATTTTTTCTTTCTAAATTTAGTTTCTGAAAAATTTTTGGTTGTAGTTGCAACCGAACACAAGTGACATAGACCTTGATTACTCAAAACACTAAAGGTTGGACGGTCTTGCATTTACAATGCATAGAAAACGACCTGACTTTGGCTGTCTTTCACAATTGATATAACAAAAGTAACAAACTTTTATTTTTTGGCAAAATTTATCAATGATGATTATATTAAATTTTTGAATTTTCAAATTATCAGACATTGATCAAGGCGTACATTAACACCCCATACAAAAGAAAAAAGAATTTTCAGCGTTTTTGAAAAAAAAAAATTAAGTGAAAAGAAAGTAAAAGCCAATTTTATCGTATCCAGGACTACGTTATGCACACAAAATATTAAATTTTGCATGCAAAGTTTTTCTTTCGAAAAATGTTTGTTTGCGTACGAAAATCGATTTGCGGTTGAAAAAAAAACAAAAAAATTTTTGGGCCAAATTTTCCAAATTACTTAAAAACATTTTTGTGTCGCCATCAAAAAAATGCCAGTCATACAATTTCCATATATGGGAATTGTATGATAAGCATTTTTTTCAAAAAACGAAAACCTCAGTTTTTTATCACCAGATTGTTTTATTAGAATCAAACAGCCTCAGAAAAGAGTTTATACCAGTTTTCAACCATTTTTAGAAATTGTATGAAAATTGTATGACAAGGATTTTCCCACACACTTGATGTATGGAATTGTATGATAAGCATTTTCGGTGTATGGAGGTCAACCTGGTTATTTTCAAGGGACAACTCTATCATAGTAGTACAATCATCTAATCTAATGAATCGTGAGCTCGTCCGCTTAAATTGTTCAGATTACTGTCACCAAAAATAGTTCAAACTTGATGGTTTTGTTTTATTTGAAACATGAAAACGCGTTATTTGTATAGCTCTGTGACATTCAAGCTTCAAACATTCTTCCTTCTTATTTCAGTGCTATAACAGATAAAATAAATAGTGACGCTGTCGGATATGATTAGTTGGAAGTGACTGAAAGGCGTCAGAAAGTTCCGCTCGCGTCATCAATTGATTTTTGAGTTAGGATATTGAAATTCGGAGTAGGGTAGTTCCGTTTTAGGCGTTCCTAGCGTCATCCAAAATGTCACTGTTGAGAAAGTATCGGATGATACCCATCAAGGGTTATTTTTAAAGGCAATGCCCCATGAAGCCTAATAAAGAGATATGGAATTAATCCGATGGATGAGAATATTTGAATATTGGAATATTGGTTATTATTTTCCTTCCCAACTGCAATGAATGTCAAGGTCATGACAAAAACCAAGTTAATAGTCTGAGGACATTTTGAGGACTTAGTGACACCTTTTAGTGGGAAATGACTGATTTCAAATAGACCATTCGACTTCAAATGAGATCACCAGCGGATTTAGGGGCAGAAAAAAAACGCGCAGAAACTTTAGTCAAAATAAGGTCTCCATAAGGGTTCGGGTGAGCTCAGAAAATCATAAAATTTTCGACAAAATTTCTGAATTTTTAATTTTTTTTGAAAAACCCCCTCGAGAAAATCTTAGATTTACTGTGAAAATTGACACACGTTTTAAGTGAATGTCATAAAATCTTTTCAAGTTTTAATGAAATTTTCAAACTCACTTAGCAAATTTCGTGATTTGGGTGCACCAGAATTGAAGCTCGAATTAGTATATTTCGATTTATAATTATCCCTGAAGTGGGCTGAAGGGACAAAATGCGTGAAAATAATAGAAAACCAATGAAAAAAATGGATGCATTTCGCAGAATTTTTGAGATGTTTAATGAAGGGAAAAGGGGTACATTTTCAAGATTTTTCAAACACTACAAACATTATCTTTTTGTCGGTAAAGGACAGAACTGTACGCTTAATATATTCTAGAAACTCCAGGATTATACCTGCAAGACTTTGACATTGCTTTTTACCCTGGCCAAGCCAGGCTCAACAGACGAGGGATGGACTTCGATGGACTCTTAAGTCGGTTCGGTATAAAATTCTTTTTTCAAAGAACAGTTTTAAGAGGGATGCCGTGAAAAAGTATTTGCTAATGCAACCTGAGCTTAAAATGAAATAGATATTTTTACAGGCATCAATTGAAACTACCGGGATGTAAAGTATTTACTTTGGCCATTTTTGCAGTTTTATTTCATGCAGTTTTTTCAGTTTTCTTTAACTTTTTCCTGTCATGCAGGGGCGGATTTAGGGGGGGGGGGGGTGAAGGTTTAAGGGGACGCACTCCCTCTCCTCAGTGGTTCGAACCCCTTTTGGCCTGTTTTTTTGAAAAATTTGCCTGCAGCGCAGAAAATTGGACCAAAACACGGTCTTATAAGTGCAGTGGGAGAGCTCGAAAAAAAATTTGGACGGCCTAAAGAAAAGGTCGACAAAATTTTTGAAAACGTTTGAAAATCCGCCCCCCCCCCATCCAGAAAATCCTAGATCCGTCTTCACGTTATGGGACGTTAAGAAGTATCACGACTTCATCCTAATACGGGCAGCCTTGAATCATTTAGTAATTCACGATGTCCGGTTCTTATTAAAATGGACCAAGTAGGCCGTGAAAAACACTTTTCGTTTGATGTATTAACAGGTTAAACTACTCGTTAGCGTATAAAAATGATCTTTTTGTGAGGTGAGAGGAGATGACTCATTCTTTGGACCTTAAGCTGCAGTCAGAACATTAAAGCATTTACCTTGCTAAGAGCAGTCTTGTTGTTTCCTCTTTCGTAACGAAAGTAACGGAATATTTGTTTTCTTTTCTTCTGACAAATTTCCACTTTTCAAATAGCCATTTCGACCATAACTTTTTAATATCAATCAAAACGCATTGTTACCTTGAGCTTAAGTTTTTAAATTTGAAAAGATAATTCACCTGTGATCATTTTTTGTAAAGTTATGCGGGTTTAAAGATTGCCAATTTGGCCAATTTTGGACAATTAACGCGTCATATATTTCGCGCTATTAAGGCGCCAGCGGAAACTTAATCCGTCTTAAAAATCAATCCAAATTGGACGAGGAAGCTTATTTGCCATAATTGAATTGTTAATAGTATTTTCTATGGCGTCTGGGGAGATGGTTTTCACAACAAATCTCAAATAATAGAAAAATAAATCATTTTTTCAAATGCTGTTAAATTTTTTTATGTTATTACTGCTCCATAAACCTTGAAAGGCAGTCGTATCAACAGATCTTTGCCCAGATACGAGCAGTTTTCTTATTCCTGAATAACCGCATCAATTTTTTTAACCTCTTCCATTTGATCGTTAAAAAGGAGAAAGTTTAACGAACAGTCGCAATATCCAATGCTTTAATTTGATAGACATAATCTTACAAAAATTCTAGCCAATAAAACTCCTTTGTGTTCCGACTTTTGAAAAAAGGATGAAGTTTTTGGCGCTTTTGGGAGGCTATGGACGCCTTGAGCTCAAAATTTTTTAAAAAAACATTAAAACAAAAGATATCACTTGTGAACAATTTTTGTAGAGTTGTTGTTGCTTGAAATTTGCCAGTTTGATTCATTTGGTAAAATTAGGGTGTGATTTTTTTCGTTCAATTCAGGCAATTTAATCGGGCGTAGAATTTTAGTTTGATAGAAACTATTTTCAACTATTATTACAGTGCTAGTCGCTAATTATTGTTCCGACTTTCGATACGAAAGTAACGGAATATTTGTGCTCGGGGTGGGTTTTTTTTCTTCAGCCAAATTTTGACTTTTTAACTAGCCCTTTTTAGCAAAATTTTTTAATATCATTCGAAAGGTATTGTTGTCCTGAGCTCGAATTTGAAAAGATATTTCACCTGTGATCATTTTTCGTAAAGTTACGGGGGTTTAAAGATTGCCATTTTGGCCAATTTGGGACAGTTAACGCGCGATATATTTCGCGCTATTAACGCGTAAGCGGAGAGGAGAGTTAATCCGTCTTAGAAATCGTTCCAAATTGGTTAAAAGAAGCTTATTTGCCATAATTGATTTGTTACAAGGAGCTAAATCTATCCTTTTGTACTTTATATGGCGTGTGGGGGGATGATTTTCATAAAAAAAATTGCAGATTTTAGAAAAAAAATTTCTTTTGTTTTATTTCATTGAATTTTTTAATGTTATTACTGCTCCATAAACCTTAAAAGGCAGTCGGAACATTCAGGGTTTCGCCCTGATACGAGCAGTTTTGTATCTTTTTGTTATTTACACAGTGTAACTGATAAAAAAGATTGTTATGCCTGAATTTATTATAAAACGATTATTATGCCTGAATTTTTGACAATTTGTAAATTACTCAAAAAAATGAATTGTTCCTTGGACTTTATAGGCTGTCGTAGCAATCACGGTTTTTAAAATAAAAATTTGAAGTTACCTACGTGTTTTTGTAGACATGAAAAAACTCAATTTTTTTAAAATTAAAAATTCAATGTCTTCTATTTGTTTTCTGAAATGATCCCCATCTCGGATTTAAAACTCAAAACGATATAGCTTGCCCCAAAAACTCTTTAGACTGTGTCTGTTCAATTTGCTATGAAACTGGAAATACTGCTGCCCTTGCCATGATTTATTCATAGTTGGCACATCTGTAGAACTGAAAGCGCCCATAACTGTGCAAAAATGTCACGGGAAGATTTTTGGACACTTCAGCTTAACTTTTCCTTATTTTTAGGTGGTACTCAGTTCCTGTCGCATGTTGCCGACATTCGGGACATGTTGCGACTTTCCGGACATGTATAATGGGTTGCTCTTTTTCGAAAGGTGGAACAATCAAAAATAATTCCATATGAGTTCACCTGTCATGGCGTAATGGGGTCTCTTGTTTGCCAGACTCATGTACTGTCCCTTCTCCAGAGTATTCTCGTAAGTGTACTGGATCAGAGCCTGAAGGGGACATGAACACTCAAAATCAGTCTCTGTGTGTCGACAAACCAGAAAATCTAGCCAAGTACATCCAAATCATTACGACAATTTTCTAAACCGAATAGTTCTTCATGTGAAAACCTAAGATTGAAGCTCTAGCTACTATAAAAAATCAGGAAGAATTCGAATAAATCGCTATGGAAAAAAAATCCTTGAAAACTGATTTGTTTTTATATTTTGATTTTGAAGATACATGCCTGGTTCAATTCGAGTGTGAAGAAGTAGTAGGCATGAGCATATTCATGGAGCAGACAAGCTGGCGAGTTGCCAGACCGAATCTGCAGGTACTGGTCCACATTTCTGATCTCCACTGCTCCGTATTTCTCAAAAGGTTCATTGTTCAGGCCTGGAAACAAATCACTGAGTCATTTTGTTAATGGGTAAATTTTTTCCATGCAAAACCAACCGTATAGGTTCTAATGATAGTTACGAATAAATTCTGTAAGTCCTCATTCGTGCTGCAATAAAAAAAATACGCAAAAAATTCACGGTGTGCAGAAAAACGTTTTAAAACTTCGATTTTCATCTAAATTAGTGCAAAAACAAATGCAACCTTTGCATCAACCGTATAATCCCCCCTAACCCGATTTAGAAGGGAGAAGTAATGATTTTTTCATAAACTTGTTTTGAGTATAGCCTAGATTCGTTCAAAAGTCGTTCAAAAGATTGAATTAAAACATTAATTTGTGTAATTAATAATAATAATAATAATTGTAGTTCCTGCGAATCGCAGAGGAGCTATCAGTAGGCCTTATCAGTCCTGTCGAGGATAGTCCATTTCTATTATCTCCCCACATTCCAGACTGTGTTATTTTGTTGAGCGAAGCTCTTTTTTGCGACTCAAGGCCGTTTTTGTTCGTCTAGAATTTTCACGTGGTACCACTTTTGCAGCCAAATTTGGTCAGGTTGTGGTAGACCTGAAGCTAGAGGTCAAGTGAGAGCTCGTCCTCACACACTATCATTGCCATGGCATGGGATCGATTACACGATCTGACGATTCTAAAGTGAACGCCTTACCACTATGCTAAGTGCCCCCAATTAACAGTATATAAAGGCAATCCAGAATATTAAAAAAATATAAAAACCAATTTTAATTGCACGTTTGTATGAAAGGAATAATTGATTCTGAATTATTTTTCAGGGTTAATGCATGCTTGGGGAGGGCATTCTACGGTAGGTCACTTAGGGGAGGGGGGATTGTACGGTTGATCCCAACTTTCACTGTTTAGGGCTGAATGATCTTTCTGGTGTTATCTAGGGATTGGTTATTCCCAAACGGTGCTGAAAGTTTCTAGCTTCATTTCAAGGTATATGGGTGAGGCATATGTTTTTTTCATTTTTCTTTTGATAAAGCATCTTTTTTTCAAGGTAGCTACTAGAGCAATTAATCTAAATTTCCCATTGCATATATGATATAGTTAGGAGACATAATATAATATTGCCATAGCTTGCTGACAAATCGGATCATTTATCTCAAAAAATTTCAGTTCAAAACAATCTTTCAGTTCTGACAAGACTGCTCGTATATCAGGGCATAGCCCTGAAAATTCTGACTGCCTCTTAACCCATATTGAAAAATTTTTGGGAAAATTTTTTGAAAAACCATAAAAATTGAGCAATATCAAAAATCAATTGTACATTTGAGTGCTCCAATTTAAGACGACGGATTAGCTAGCCTCAATTCATTTTGAAACAATTTCGTAGTCCGGGTTAATTCGCCAAGCAAAATAAATCGTGTTACATTTTCAGCGTTATGAAAAAATTCTTCAAAGCCCACATAAATTAGTCCAGAGGATAGCCAAATTGTCAATTCTCAAATTCCCTTAAGTTTGAAAAAACGATCGGAGGTAAAATGTCTTTTCATTTTTGATTTTCACATTTATTGAGGTATAAAAAAAATTGTTGAAAATAATTGTTTTGATTGCCCAAAACAGACTGAAAAAAAAACAGCCAAGCATAAACATTACGTTTTTTTTTCGGATAAATTACAATACAAGACCGCTCAATTATAAGGGCAAAGCACTGAATGTTTCGATTGCACTTACTCGGAACGTTGAATTTTTTTTTTAGTTTAATAACTGACAAAAAAAAAACGAAAAAAGGATGTTTTCTTCATTTTATCCCCCATACGCTATGTAAAATACTAAGGGTGTGTTTAGCGTCTCACATTGTGATAGTAGAATAAAATTGCTGGCCTAGTCTAATTCGGAACGCATTAATTATTGCGACTTTCGAAGAAGACAAAATATTGACGCTCGGTGTGGTTTTTTTTGTTCAGTCAATTTTCACCGATCGAAATAATATTTTTCAACGTAATTTTTTTATACCCCATTGAAGATATTGACTTCCTGAGTTCAAATGAAAAAAGATATTTTACCTCCGATAATTTTTTGTAAAGTTCTGGGGGTTTGAAAATTGCCAATTTTGCCATGTTCTGGACTAAATTATACGCGTTTTGAAGAGTTTATTCATAACGCTGAGAGCGTAATGCGAATTCTTTATGCGTGGCGAATTATTCCGCATAACAAAATCGTTCCAAATTGAATTGAATTATTCTATATAAATCAATGGACAGTCAGAAAATTCAGGGCTTTGTCCTGATATACGAGCAGTCTTGTTCGTTTCTTACGCGCGTTATAAACAGGCAATATAGCGCAATTTAATTATTCCAAATTGGCCAAATTAGCAATTTTCAAACGCCCGTAACTTTGCATCCGTCAAAAAACTTCTGTTAACAAGTCAAAATTTGACTGAATAAGAAAACCACACCAATCATAGATATTACTCATTTCTTCGAAAGTCGGAACAATTAGCTCGTTTAATAATCCCAAACTCTGAAGTGAAAAAACATCAACGCGCGATCTCTTATTAGCAATTGAAGATTGAACAAGGGAAAATCTTCAGCCCAGGAGCGCACCCACATTCCTCCCACGGTAATACAAATCTATGACTACTGACTTCTTGATGAAACCCAAACTTCGCTACCCAACAAAACATATTGTTTTAAACAAAACAATTTATTTATTTAATACATTTTCCGGCTCTTTTTCCTTCCCCCCCCCACCTCACACGAGCTTCAATATATAAGTGTAACGAGTGGTTTTACGAGGTTGAGTATGAAAACCAAATATGTTTGTCGTGGCCTTATTAGTCTGTATGTAAATTTTCATAGCAATCGGACAATGTGGTCAACAAATTTACATGTAAAAATTTGCAGGTGGGGGAAAAGGAAAAAGAGCCCATTTTCCTTATTATTCCCTCGTCCCCCCTCACCCTCGCTCCCCCCCCCCCACCCTCGCTCAAGCAGTACCCTCGCTCTTTGGCTTCTCTTTTATTTCATCGATCAGACAAACTTGATGAATCTATTACGATTTGGCTTCTCTTTTATTTCATCGATCAGACAAACTTGATAAATCTATTACGATTTGAAGAAAAAACTGAAACAATAATTCAAGGAACCAAAAACAAGTCATAATTGTTAAATGGAGTGCTCTTATATAAGGGCAGAGCCATAACGGTTCTGATTGCGCTTGAAGGCCAATTAAAATATTGTTTTTTGTTTGAAAAATTGACGAAATAATTGAAACAAAAATGTTTGCTATAAGACCACCAGTTTGCTTCAACTTACTTTGGAGCACATTAATCCTCCGCTTACGCGTGATATAGAACGCAATATTTTGGGCGTTGTTTATCCGAAATGGCCAAGTTCGCCATTTTCAAACCCGACAATTTTAGAAAACAAACGAACGATCACAGGTGCAATTTTTTATCAACTCCGATTAACAATACCTGTCGTATGGTATAAAACAATTCCTTCGAACTTGTTGGATTAAAAACCAAAAATTGACTGTAGAAAAAACCAGTTCAAGCATAAATATTTTGTTTTCTACGAAAATCGGGGCATAGATAACTTAAGATAACCACCGGTGTGAATCTGTCAATAATCATTGTTTATGTTTTGTTGAACAACTTTAATATTTTTTTTCATAATATTATTCTTATCTTAGTTCAGTTTAGTTGAACTTTTTCGGAGTATACTTTTAATCTTTAATATGGCTCAGAGAATTAACTAATCTGGCATGAGGGGAGTACCTATCCCGTGGGTAGATTGAAGAGACATGCTCTAGTTGGCATCGATGGCCAAAAGGTTTTGGGATTATTTGAGTTTAGTCTTCTTCAGAAAACCAAACATCACTTTCGAACGACACAAGTTGCTGAAAGGGAGACAACGTGATGGGAAAAACCTTGAACATTTCTGGGGAGCCCTTACTGAAATTGCATTGAAGTGTGATATCGCCAGTGGGGAAGAAGAATGGATACGTGATATTTTAATTTAGAACATGCATGACGATTTATGATATCCAGAGAAAGTTGTTAACCGAGACACTCGCACCACTGGTTGCACTCAACCTGGCCATAGTAGACGAGAATGGAAAACCCAATCTTCTCAAAATGACAAATAAAACAGAGTCTGCTAAAAAAATTTCCATCAGATTATTAATGTAAAAAGGGAACCTACCCTTAACATCGAACAAGAAAAATTTGAAAAATATTAAAATTGTCGATAAGTCTCGTTCTGTGGTTAGCAGTGTCTATTCTGTAATTCAGCAATCTGTATGAAATCCTCTAGAAAAACTGAAGGATTTTGTCGTTTAAATGAACTTCTTGACAAAGTCTGAACAACGCTCTGAATACTCAAGTCGAGTCAGCTTGTCTCATTGGCTTTTTAAAGAGAAATGTAATTAACGAATTGAAAGTTCGAGACTCTTACCTAAAAATCTTCTATATCGCAGGAGAAAACTCATGCATGAAATATGTTGGTAATTTTTCAAAGACTACCTAGCAAATTTTCCAGCCAACGACGCACTCTGTACTTTCTTATTACAAAGAATTGTAAGTCAAGAAGAGAAAATCATTTTTGTCGATATCTTTTATTCTTTTGTTGATCTTTTACATGCTCCAATTCAGTAATCTGTATATAATCCTAAGCATATTTGCTAGACAGATGCTAGCCTGAGCAATAACCATGACCATTCAGTTTTAAATGTGACAACGACCATCATTTCGAACTGAAGAACTTGTAAATATCGGCTCAGGAAATGATAGTCACTTACATATGAATATTAATGTCCAACCGATTTGCCAAGCTAGCTTTTTAATTAAAATACAATTCACGCACTGAAAATTGCAAACCCCTACCTCAAGAATTTTTGCGCAAGCGAAAAGTTTAAGGACCTTTACCGCAGATTTACAGACATTGCTATCAAAACAATCAGAAAAAGTAGAAATACCAATCAGATCCAACGTACGCCATTTCTCATATCGGAAGCTTTCAGCGCAACATCTTTAAGAATGATATCCTTCAGAAAGAAGGCATAGAGTTGACCCAGAGGGCATTTCCATACTTTGAATCCTTCACATTCAAAGAAATAACCAATTCTTTACTTAAAAACTATCGAAATTGTAAATTATCTACTGCGAAAATACAAAAACTTCTTCAAAAAATCAAGAAAATCAAAAACCAATCAATTACTACCTTATAAACCCTAAAAACGTTCCAGTCAAAAATGGAAAGAGCCAAATATACATGAGTTGCTGGACAACGTGGCAGCTAAAATCGCAGAAATCTTCGAAGGAGAAGTTTGGTTTACAAATTTGAAATTGAGATATCCGTTTAGCCATATAGCTACCGAAACATATACATTTCAACCAGATATTACGGAATTGATGGTATGCCGAATGACGTTCAACGAGTCGTGGAATTAGCTTTTGTCTCAACTTCCTTCAGCGCATGTTACCTAGAGAAACATTTATTTGGATCCAAACGATCCCTTATTGAACACAAAAACATAGTTAACATTCTTTTATCCATTTTCGATAATCACATTTTTGTAGTCAAGTGGCCAATATGTCAATTTCAAAAAATTGAATGGCTGGGTTTAATTTTTTTTACTCAGGAATTTTTTCACTTTGTATCAATAAACCAGTTTTTTACACTCTTTTTAACTAGGAAAATCCTTACGACCTCTGTTAGACAGAAAGTCAATTTTTACGTGTAGCAAGGCACATTCATGTGCACTCGAGATTATTAAAAGAAATTCGCCAAAGTAACGCAAGGACACACACACTTTGACAAGAGTAAAAATCGAGGCCCCGCATAGCAGCTGAGGTGCATAGCTAGAACAATTCCACGGGAGTGATCGGAAAACCGTCGCTTTTGAACGTAGAAATCTTGATACTCATTCAGCGAAAAACTCATTTAACCAGCTTGAACTCTTGGGAGTAGTTTAGGCAGTTTAACACTATTAAAAAAATCTTCACGGATCGCACTTTGAAGTATAAACCAACCACATAGTCCTATTATCAGCACATTCCAGTATTCGGGTTGGTAAAACTTATCAAACTAGGTTAACACGCTGCGTGGACAGGTTACTTGTTCTTTTTCACAGTTGAACAAGTAGCGCAAAACAATTTGGACTGTACCGAACTATTTTCTAGAAATCCAATTATAAAACCCACCCACATTCGTATTTCGACAAAGATTATCTGATTGCAACAGTAGAAAAAATAAGAAAAATAAATTCCGAAATTTCAGACACCATTAATATCACTACAATAAGCAACGATCTGACTGGCCACAATTCGGAACTTTCCGAAGTTGCAATTTTATGATTTTAATGTATTAGCTAATTTTAACAAATTTCATAACCATTTTCTAGTTTAACAGAAGCTAATGAATTCATTGATCTAGATTTGCCGGTTCGTCGTATTTTAATTGGGGTAACTAAACAGTCATTTTTCCTCGGGTGACAGAATTATATTCGGCGAAAGTTACTTCAAACGCTGCTGCAAAACCCTTTATTCATTTTCGTTAAAATTACCATCATTTACACGGAATCTTAAGAAACAATACCATGATTTTAAACAAATTTGATTTCTACGAACAACAAAGTCGTTTTTTGTACAGTTGGCGACCATCGATCCAATGGTTTGGTTGGTCAGTGAGCCACATAAAACAATCAAAATTTCTCGTTATGGCTACTGAATCTCCCAATCATCAATAATTGATGCTCTATAAAAACAGAAACAAACGTCAATCAACAGTTCTCTCTCGGAGAAACACTACAACCGAAACCGAATAGCCTTCGCAAAAAAGTTGTTGATAACAATCGAAAACGTTGCTTGGATTAAGGCAAAACAATTTAGTCAGACACCAGAGCGAGAGGTTGAGCAGTAGGTGATAGAGTGGGGTAGGGATATTAGGACTCACTGATTGAAACAAGTATGAAAATCCATCGGAGAAACGATATGAGTCAGACTCTTCCACCTCGCCAGGCAAGAAAACTCAACCCCCAAACGCCCTGCACTGACCAGTCCATCGAATTAAGTAACTTTTTCTGAAAACTTTCACACAGAAAAAATAAAGAACACTAATATCTTGAAATTAGAGCAATTTAGTTAGCCCTTAGAATGTCAAACGGAAATTTTTTACAAAGCAAGTTAGCAGCTTTTTCGATTTCGAAACCTGATTTTTGTCAAATTGCAAAATGATTCCATCCCTACCCCCTCCCCAAATAATTGCCTCTTATTCCTTTTACCACATAACCCTCTCAATGTTCAATTTTGTGTCTGGAACAACCATAGCTTATTTCAAGAGTTTTTTTTGGTCATTTTCTTCTAAAATTATATCAAAAGACCATTTCTGGATCTTTTTTCGGCCCGATACTTCGTTGTTGGACCGAAACTCCTGTCAAATATAGTATTTATAATTAAACTAAAATAAGAACATAAAATACATACATAAATTATCCATTCATGCATACATACAAATTTATCGCCCTTGTGAATACAAAAACCAGGATTTGAGAAAGAATACAAGAATTTGGAAATTGCCATTTTTGAATACAATAATTATTACGTACAAAAGTTATCCATCTCCAATTTTTCTAAATTAATTGAGCAAATGGTTGAAAGCATCAAAAATTATAAAACAAAATTCAGCAGATAAAAAAGTTGAAATTTATAAACAGTCGACATTTCTGTTTTGAAAAGTACAAACGACTTGGGGAGTGTTGAAAATCGCCACTCATTTAAGTTTCAAGAATTCGATCATAATTGTGTTTTTTTTTTGTCTTTAAAAGTGAAAAAAAAAACACTATAGAAATGATTTGCGTTGAATTTTGATCCTTTTAAGGTTAGCAGTAATATGACCCATTTTAGTTAATTATAATCGATTGTTTTTCAATTTTCAGACAAAGACAAAAAAAACTCGATAAATGTAATCAATTTTTATCCATGGAACTCTAGCGCGGTTAGCCTAAATGCAATTGGAAGCGCTTGATTAGTAGTTAAAATTTTCAATGCGCGAATTAATCAGGCGAATAAGCTCAAACTCATAAATGTTTTAAAATGAATTGAGGCAAACTATGTGGAAATGATAGTTCCACTCAAATTTCAGCACTTAGTATTTGTTATTGGCCGTCCATAATTTGTAAATCATCAAAATTTTATCAAAGAAAAATTTTCCAAGACTAGCTAAGGGACAGTCGGAACATTCAGAGCTTAGCCCTGATATTCGAACAGTGTTACCTTGTTCAGATTATGTCTGAACGTGTTTTAGTTTTCAACATTTGCCGAATCTTCTTCCTTCGAGAGGTTGTTACATTGATACTTGTCATAACTTATCATTGACATGAATATCCACTAATTTTGAGCCCGATAAACAAGCTGCTCCCCTTCAATTCTGATTCGCAAAATATTTCTTAAATTCGCCAATGTATGCCATTTTAAGGTAGGAGCGTGCGTCAAAAAAAAACATTCTTTTTATCAAAACGACTGAACAGTGCTCAGAGCTATTAAAAACCTATAAAAAATTTCCCGAGTCGCAGAAACAAATTCCAGAGTTCTGGTGTTTCGGTAGAACTTAAAAAAAACACCAAATGGCAATCCTAGCAGAAATTTCCGCTCCGAAATTCCTATTTTCAAGACATCTTCTCTCATAAGTTTCACTGACCTAACCAATTTCTGTCCCTGTGAAAACAAAGCCCAGTCACACAATCGGAGCTGTCTTTGTTCACATACAGAGCCACCCGTCTCATTAAGCCGACAACCTCACTTGGCAGAAGTCGGATCATCTCGTCGAAGTCAGTGCGGAATGCATCGAACAGATCCTTGTTTCGATTTTTGTTCAGTAAACTTTCAGGCAGCATTAGCAGAAATCCCAAAAAAGAAGCTTCGCTGTATACTTCGTTGGGCGGTTCAAGTGCAATCATATCTGTGAAATCTTCGTTTATTTCGAAGTGCTGTGCTTTGTTTGCCGACATTAATTCAAAAACAGTTTCATCTCTATCGGCCAATATCTGAATCAAACAATCTTGTTTCGGCTGAATGAACAGATCCGATTTTTCAGAAATGAAACTAATTTCACTCAAGACACTCGCGCCCAGTTTTCTGCTGATTGATGAATTCGGAACTGTTCTAACAGTGGCTTGGTGCTCGGATTTGTTGAAAAGCCGAACGCTGGTTTGTTCGTTCATGTCGTCGATTGGCGAACTCGGTATGAAGCAAACCTTTGGGTCGTCTGCTACAGAAGAAAAGTAAAAATCTTCATAAAGATCTTTCGCTTGGAACTCAGAACCTTTCGGTAACTTAGCAGAGGCACTTTTCAGTGGTTGAAGTTCGAGCACACATTGTTTTTCCCTGCCTAAAATATAGAAAATTGCTAAAGTTTTTATCAAAAGCTGGCAAGATTTAAGGTAAAACCGTAAACTTATGACTGTAACTCATTTTTCTACCTATGTATGCCGCAGATAACTCGAGTTATCATTTTCTACTAAAAATAACGGATTTCAGAAGGAGGCTATAAAGGGTTACAAGCGAAACGTTTCAGAATTTGGTCAGTTCTTTTTTGAAAGGAGCTATTTCAATGATCTTACCAAACAATACCATTAGCTTCAAACAAAAAATTAATTTCGTGTTATTTATTTCACCATTTCAATCGTGCTGTCACAGTTAAGTTCTGGGATAATCCTTTAAGAGTAAAAACTATTCAAGATCAAGCGGTCTATTTTATGATGTTAGAGTTACACTCTAAATAATTTTAATCACATCAAGAATAACAATAGAATCGATTTTTTGTCGAGCTTTCAGTAGCGGATTTAGGGGGATGGGAAGAGGGCGGACGCGTTCTTCTCAGGTATTTGAACCCCTTACTAGGGTGTCGAATACCTGAGAGTAGGTGTGGTCAAAACTGTTCGAAAAGAGCCTAAAAACACCTTTTTGATCTGTTTTTTAAAATTTCGCCTGCGACGCAAAAAAATTGACCAAAATAGAGTCTTTAACTGATTTGTGAGACCTTGGAAAATCAATTTAGTCGAGCTTAAAAATTTAGACTTTTTTGAAAGAGTTTTGCATAATTTTTTGAAGTTGGTCTTTACAAAATAGCAACTTTTATAGGGATAAAACACAAGGCGACAAGGGTACAACAGAATGCAAGTACAGGACATCAAAAAGAGTGCTACTAGTGTGGAAGACAGTTTGGACCTAACCAATTAAAATCAAAAGTCGAACCGTTCAACTCAAGTTTGTGTGTCATCATATTTCTTAGCTTGCTATTGCCGCTTCATTTTTTGGAGAGTAGATTTTTACTCAGGTCATAGCAACAACTAACGCAGATTTTGTTTTTTAACATTTACACTTAATTATACAAATTTGATGGCTCGAAAAACTTTTTGGGACGAAAACGCATCAGCTTTGGCGTATCAACTCGTATTGCTTCGGCCCTGTTGCTTGTGATGTTCAATTTTTTTTAAAGTAAAAATCCTAAATGTTGTCTGTATGTTCCTGGATTCCAGAGACAAGTTTTTTAATATGTTCCAAAATGTAAGTGAATTCCACAAACAAAATTTCAGTGGATTCCGCATACATATACCTGTAACGTAAATTTTGTCGGCACATTTATTTTGTTGCGGATTCCGCAACAAGCAAATCTAGCTAGTTGTTCTGGATTCCGCCACTGTAAGTGGATTCCGCAAAATGTAAGTGAAATCCGCAAAATGTAAGTCGAATCCGCAAATGTAAGTGGAATCCGCAAAAGTTTGTTTAGGTCTTTGTTTGTGGAATCCAAAACAGCATAGAAGATCAAAGAAAATTAGCAATGTTGCGGATTTCGCAACAAATCTGATTTTGGCCTGTTGCGGATTCCGCTTACAATGCAGAGAATGCACAGTTTGGCCTCGTAATGATACACCCCCGAGAAAATCCTTCCCCCCCCCCTCGCGAAAATTTTAGGCCCCTGCGGGCAATAGTAATTGTTTTGACAGATTTTTGGCTGGTTGATTAAGCTGGCCTTTTATGTTGTTGTAAGACAACACCCATCTTTATCTGAGAGCAAGAGGGTTAGTTACATTAAGTTATTCATTTGCAAATGAAGTTGTGTGCGCTCAAGGTGGGTATGGATATGCGTGTGTGTGTAGCCAAGGGAAGGAGATGTGCGTGGAGGGATGGCTTGTTACTGAATTAGGTTCAAACTTTGCGTTCGTGGATCCGCTTCTCTTCTCCTTAGCATGTGAAAGGTGGCGGGAAATAACCTTTAAATTTCTTTCTGTTTTTCGACTTAATACAGCGTTAAAAAATGCGCTATATACAGTGCTGAATTAAAGTATCCGGACAAACAATCAAACAGGTGGTTTGAGGGGTTTCTGATTGGATTTCCGGACAAAAGTATCCGGACAAACTAGTGCTTTTGATGTTTTGTCCGGAGGCACTTCAAATCAAATCTGAACCAGTTAGAATCATTAGGAGGACTAAGGGGACGAGGATTACAAGGGGGACACGGCAACTACCAAAATCGCGGAGAACACAAGACGCCGGATCAGAAACGCTATGACTGCGATCAACCCAAATTCACGGCTGAACACTTTAAGAAATGCCCATCACGGCCGGCTCCATAAAATTGTTGCAAGAAAGTGGACCATTACGATGAAACGTCCCGGGGAAACGGATGCCACGCGGAGGAGGACGCTTGGTTGAATTAACCCAAGGAGACGAACTTTTTGAAGAAGAAGACGACCCTCCAGATGAGGAAAACTCGTAGCTCACAAACTATGTCGATTTTGTTTTTAAAAAAGAAGCACCGCTGGTTATCAGAAAGATCGCATGACTACCTAATAATGGCAACACGTCCGAGAACGGAAACCCACCTGAACAATGCCGGGCCGAAGTTAAAACTCGCAGTGAAGGGACGCCTCCAATGAAAACTGGGATTGAAACCCTTCAATCTTCATTGCAGACAATCTTCACTGTAAACAATCTGAAGAAAACACTGGGGAATCAAACATTTTGTAAAGTTGGACCTAACGTTAAAATTAAGATTGCTGGTTACTGTGCAAGGTGCACAGATTATTTTAAAAAAAAAACTTAATACCATGTCCAAATTGTCTAAATTTGTTAGAAACTTCACTGCCGATTTAAATTAACCGGACAAAACAAATGAAAATTGAAAATTATAACTCAATAGTAATAGAGTTAGGTTTTAGCAAAAAAACTGAGGGAGTAGAGTTTGCCTATATTTCGCTGAGTTCAATTGGTGCTTTTCATTTTGCAAACACCGGGTCCAAAATTTTTCCTCAAAAAACGATCTGTTTGGACTTTTTTTTGAATTACGCCTCAACTAAAGCTGACAACGTAAAATAATGGTTACCCATGTATTCAGTCCAATAAAGTTTTAAAATGGCATAATTAGCTTATTTACAATCTGTATGAATAAGTTATTTTACCTTTGATAATCATAAAATTCATAAGCTTATTTTCGTTCGTGTCATTTTTTACTTAAAATATTTTTGTTTGTATTATCAGCAAATTGTAGACTATACCCCACATAAACTTTATTGGGCTACATATGAGGCTCACTATGATATAACTTTGTCAGCAATTGAACGAATAACTGTGGCATAATTTTTGATCGATTAAATAGCCAAAATTGTTGTCTTTGGGGTTAAGTTTATTGTATCATAATATTTGTGTTAAATTTTTCATAAAATTTTTCGTATCAGTTTTTGTCTAAATTTAAAGCAAAATTGAGATAATCGAGTTTAATTTTAAAGTTTCATTTGTTTTGTCCGGAAAATTTAATTGAGCACTGTATAACTAGAAAGCAAAACACAACTACATAGCTCAAAAAACAGCTGAAAAAGAAACCAAACGTTTTCAAATTTGACTTTTCGTACGTGATAATTAATCGATTTGGGTTGAATCTACATTGAAACAACAAACCTTTTTCGGTAATGAAAACATACACAGTTTCATTTGATGTGTTTGTAAAATCAATATCGACACTCGGATCCGCTTGAACCGTCTCCATCTTCGGCTTTTCCCGTACGTGCTTTCTCTCTTTCTTCGTATTAGACATTACTATAAGTTCTGGATCGCGTTTTGGCTGCTCTTTTTTAGGCTCCTCTCGTTTCAGCTTTTTGGGCTCGGGTTTTTCTCGTCTCGGCTCTTCGTTTCGTGGCGTTTCAGTGTTTTGATCATGCTCGGCTCTGTTCCTTTGATAGGAAGAGCTGAACTCGCCTATCGCTTGCGCTTTTTTCTGTTTGGAACCATTAGAACCCATAATTGAATTTATAGACAAGTATATTCAAAATATTAACCAACTAAATCAAGCTAAAGAGTAAAATTGAAGAAATAAGTACTCGCTGTGCATTTTTATAATTAAGAAAAGTGCTCGCTGATATACTTGTAAACATAAAGCTTGCCATGATTAAAAAGTACCATCATGAAAAAGTCAGCTCAAACACACTAGTGCTTTTGATGCTTTTACTCTTTTCATTGATTGGATAATTGAATCTTTACCTATAGAACATGATAGTTTACCTATAATGAACCTATAAAACAATTGACTTTCCGTAGATTTTTCAATTTATTTCTCATTGAATTGCGTGCAATCTCTACGATTGAACTGTTGTAGCCATGATTGAACTTTTGCTCATTTGACATCAAAATGTTCGAATATTGAATCTAACAAAGTTTACCGGCCACTGTGCAATTTGCAGAGAATATTCTGGGTAATTTTCAAAATCATAAGCAAAAATAGTACAGATAAAAAAAACGGAAAGAAATTGAAAATGTTTGTTAGAGTTTTTAGATATTTTGATGGCTCTTTTCCAGTTCCCCCCTTTCAAATTCAATTTTGAAAAGTCTATTTAACGTTGTCACAAGGCAATGAAATTTGGCGTGGTGAATAAATCGACAATTCTGAACAGATTTGTTCTTCATACTTTACAGCGTAACATCACGCATTAAGCGGTAATAACACCTAAAACAAATATAAAACTCGATATTTTGAAAGGGGGAACTGGAAAAGACCCATTTTGATAATTACTTTGAGTCAATAAAAACTGTTTGAACTGGAAAACTAGCGATAACATTTCGGAAAGTTTTGGTAACAAATTAAGTAAATCCCAGAAAAAAATAAAGTGGAAAGTTATAAGTGGAGATTTATCAGAGTGGAATTTTTTTAACAAATAAAGTAAATCCCGAAAAAAGAGAGCGAACATTTAGCCTGAAATATCCAGTCTAAATAGCTAGTCTAGAAAACAAAAAATTCAAGCCATCACTTTTTATTTTTTTGTTATTGAGAACACATAAGAATCAAGAGGTATTTATACCATTTTTGACACCCTTAATGCAGTCTTTGACATTTTTAAAATCGGAATTAATTTTTATTTGATATAAACATTGTAACTCATCTTCATTTTCTTAACATACTAAAGGGCTAATTTGCAGTTTTGACTCATTGGGGATTCGATACTTTGCCCAAGATTTAAAAAAAGTGGGTGTTTGTCAAAAATATTATTTTGGGCCCTGAATATGCAGAACAATTTTCAACTAGTGATAAACTCAGTAACACTATAAAAACCATAAATTATAGCGTACCCGCACTTAAGAAAAGTGAAAAAAAATCGATTATAATAGTTTTTCGTGGTCTAAAATGTTGTAAATATAATCGATTCCCATGTTGTGTTCAGTCAACAAAATTCGACTAAAAATGGTTTTAAATCCATTTTTTCTCGCCAAAACAATAATTATAATACATTTGGAATCCATTATAATGGATTTAATAATAAGTAGGAAATCGCATTGAAATGGATTTTTTTTCCACTTTACTTTTGTTTCCCGCGTCGTGCAAAATTTTGCAAGAATTTCTGCATTTATCAAGTGAGTTATGCGGAAACTTTCCAAAGCGAGTGTGTACGGCCTAATCCATTTCTAAACCCAAAATTAAATTGCCACCTGAACAACCCCCTCCCCCCCACACACACACACACACACACACACACACACACACACACACACAAATACAAAAAGTAAATAAAATTTATCGAGGTTAAAGGAGAGCCAAAACATTCAAGACTTTGCCCTGGTACGAGCATTCTTTTTCATTTGGCTGGAAGTCAACAAAAGCGACACCAGGACCCTTTTCCAGTTCCCTTCCTTTAAATTTTTTCTGAAATTCTACTTACCTTAAAATTCTATTTAAAATACTATTTTAATATCAAAATTGCATCGAAACGTTAAGCGTGAACAGGTGAAAAAAATTTTACATTATTTTTACGTTCAAAATGCCGTGAGAATTTTACGAGGGGGTGGGAAACTGGAAAAAAGCCAATATCTGCAGTGTTCTAACTGTAGAATTAGTGATTCTACTGTATTACATGCTGTTTTAACCTTAGCGTAAGGTTGAATCGTCATTAAGTTAAGTATTACAGCAAACAAAGGGTCCAGTTCAAAATAGTTTGATCTTCGAAGATATCGTCCCTCCTATGCCAGAAAACAAAATTTGACAAAATTGGCGAACCCCCTCCCCCAAATCGGAACTAAGAAAACAAATGTTATGAAATTCAGAGGAGCGATACTAGAGATGATTCGACCCGGGTATACAAAAAGCGGGACCCCTCAGACCCTTGGGGGGGGGGGGGGGGCAAGTGATAACGGTCCCCGGAAGTGTAAATGGCTCGGAACTCAGAAACTAGAGGGGGTTTTGGGCTCAATTTTTAGTATATTGTAATCCTAGTTGTGGGAAGTTTAACTTTGGAACCCTAGACCCCTAGGACCCTTACTTCCGGTTTTATGCCCTAAGTAAGCAAACTCACCCCTTTTTCCGGAAGTCGTTTCTCGACCTCCAATGAGTGCAGTGAGTTGAAACTTGGAGGGATGATAGGTGATGGCAAGATACATCTTGTGTTATCCTTTGAAACAAATCCGGCAGTTGGACCGAAAGTTGTTGGCACTTGGAAAAACACCCCCTTAGACCGGAAATAGGCAATTTACGCAAAATGATGAACAGTGGCATAATGATTTTATTGCGGCATTGGACATAAAATACAAACCTCGAAAAAAAAGACCCCCCTGTGAGTGAAAACCCTCAGGCGACACTTTCCGGTGTTAATAGCCTTTTTCTGGAAAAAGTGATAATGGACATTAGAAATGGGATAACTTTTGAAAGATGAATGGGATATGGATGGAACTTGGTAATTAGGACCCCCAAAGATTTTTAAACCTAAATATGGAAGTTTGACCCCGGTTGACCCCTGGGTGACCTCAAGGTGACCTTTGGGCGTCCTGGCCCCAAAATTGTATAGAAAACCCCCAGATTAACACCGGAAAAGGGCGTATTCCCCAGCGCAACCCCTGAAATTGAGACGTGATCACCTTGCTAACAGTTGGGAGGAAAACTTATATATTGGTACTAGGGCAGAAGCTGATAGAGATTTGCTTTTATATCGCAACCTTGGGTTAGTAGAATTAATTCAAAGTGGACTTGGTAAACATTGGGTTTATTTTAGCTTGGCATATGATCTATTAATAGCAATTCAACTGGACTTAGGAAAAGTAGTCCCAGAAGAAATTGATAAAAATAGGACCGCAGCATGAGAAATAGATCTCCTAAATAGTATGAACGGAGGGGCATTTTACTTGGCTTCCCGGAGGTGACTTTTTGATTTAATTTGACCCCTAAGAAACAAATTACGTTCCCCTGATAGCTAGAAGGTCGAGATTGGAATAGAGTACAGATAGAAAATTTAGATGCCTAAAATTAATTCGTCACCCATGAAAAGGGTCTCCCCCTACCCTTAGGAGGTTGGCACGTTAAAGGGATAATCAAAATAAAGACCTTGGAGGGTCACTGAGTACACAAAGCATGGTTTGGAGGTTGATTTGAACTTGGAGGGCTGGAGTCACTGAGGTCAGGAGAATTAGCTGACTAGAATCGTATGACATTTGTTTGCTTGTTCAAATTGTGACACCTACCGCATACCGGGTATCTAATAAGCGTGAAAAAATTGATAAAAGAAACCGAGGTTGGCACGTGGCAGAGTTGACAGAGGGAGGGTTCATAGTCCTAAAACATATGCAGACGGGTGATTTAAGCGGATGTCAGGACTGATAGGGAATGGCGGGACTTAACTAAAATTAAGTGTAAAGAACGATAAGGAAGTGGAGGGTATCGGAGAGCCTGTAAGAGTCAGAACAGTTGTTAGCTACTATTAAGAGTAGTTGGTTCTCAGTCAGAGAAGAGAGCAACTGATACTGAGAGTGAGTATAGTTTGTTCTCAGTTAGTTAGAGAGAACAGTTAATGCTACCGAATTGAGTAGTTGGTTCTCGGATTAAGAGACCAGTAGATGATTGGTTCTCGGATTAGGAGACCAGTAGATAGTTGGTTCTCATCAGAGGTTCTCTAGAGAGAGAACAGTTTAGTGTTAATGGAGTTAGTTGGAAGTTAATTGCAAGTAGGAAATTGTGCTGATAAATCGCGGACCTTTCCTTTGATTTAATTTTTAGATTTTATTTTGGCCACCCAGAGCCTTCTGTATTTGGACGAATCTTCATCTGAATTAAATTATAATTGGAAATGTTTGCCATTGTATCGAGTAGACAAGACAGCCTGAAGAGCACTATACTGAAGGGGCCAAGCAACATAATACAATACAGAATAGTTGCCACCACAACAACCGTTTCGGGTTATAAATAGTAGTGAATCTCGGTCGCCCCGCTGAATTCACTGCCCAGGTGACGAATTTGCGGTATCGTTAGGAATGAGAGAGCAAACCTAGAGAAGAAACCACCTAAACCTACATTGGAGCTCCTGGGTGGGCCATATTCTGGATTGCAGTTGCAAAGTATGTGTTGCCAATTGACGACTCGGGTGTAATACGAAATGGAAGCTCAGGACAGGTGCCTGATTGCTGAAGCGGCAGTTGCAGCAGTGAACAGGCTGGACAGGCAACAAGGCGTGTTTTGATTCGGTACAATACGGCCAGATCAATTTCCTTCATGTAACTACCAGAGTTGGGAGGACTGGAGGACACATCTCTCTTGGGTTGCACATGCCAGCCGGTGGGAAGATGAACAGACCAGGATGGTACTGCCCACATTTTTGACAGGCTGGGCTCTAGACGAGTTCACGAGTATGCCGAATCACTTCAGGGAAGAAATTGATGGCTTCCCTGAGCCGACGGTAGTGAGGATGGTCGCCGAGCTTGATCAGCGGTTGATGCCATTCCAGAGTCGAGCTGCAGCCAGGGCCGAGTTCAAAAGCCTCATGCAGGGCGACAAGGATAGCCTTTGAGAGTTTTCGAGGCAAGTCAGATCGCTTGGTTATGTGGCGAACGCAAACAAGAGACGATATGAATTGTGAACAGTTCATAGATGGCATATTTGATGCGGAACAGCAGGAGCTACTTTTACGCGAGGAGTTTGAAATTTTCACGCAGGCAGTGGCTCGAGCCCAGTGTCTGGAACTAGCTAACAAAACTGCCAGAGCGAGGAGCAGGAGACGACCAAACTATGTTCAAGAGCTGCAGAGTGTATCAGACTTGATGTCTGGAGCGGTCACAGACGGTGTAGAGGTCGGAGACGCGGAGAAGATACGGGTCGAATTGACAGGACTGCAGACGAGTACTGATCAGATACTGGATCAGATAGCGATGCAAATGCAAATGCAGGGCTCGCGGCAGAGTGAGT